CTCGGACGGAGGTATAATTCCCAAGACGCATCGATTAAAAATTATTTATTGAATTATACCTCAGAAGGCAAAAAGTAGACGCTAAAAAACCAGAGAAAAAGAATGAGGCCGTCCAACAGCAAAATTCGAACTATTATTTGCAAGCATTTCTTCGAAAAGACTTTTAGCCTTGTTTGTTCTCGGTGAGTCTCTTAAAAATTCATGTTCACCTGTATGTCTTTAGGCAATTGGTGCATGAATCTTGTTATTTGAAAATTTATCTCAATGTCTTTTAAGTTACGAGGCGCAGTTTGTTTTGATTTCTGCGGTAACACGGCAGCTGGCATTTCAATAACATAGGCACAACAGGACAGTTTAGTCTGGACCAAAGTTTATTGATAACACATTTAGTTATTCGAATAGTATCTAGTAAATTCTAGACTTTTAGTTTCCAACGCGTTTATGTACGTAGCTCTTCTTCGTTACTTGTAAAAAAAAGAATACGCATTTCATTTTTCCGAATTAGGCTCAAAATATTTTTTTTTCGCAAAACGGAGCTGAAATCGACCAATTCAAAATTTAGTTCAAAAATTACAATTTTCGAAACATTTAACATCAATAGTCACCAAACAAAGGACTGCTAATGTTCCCCAATGGAACACGAATAGAGCTCATAATATTTTGAAAAACGTTGCGATTCTCTTTTAAAACATCCTATAAGGCTGTAATCACGAACGTAAGTTATTCATTTTAGTTTTTCCCACACCGGTAAGTAGGGCTTTTCGTCACGTTGATTGGTCAGCTAGGAAGTGATTAGCGAGTAACACTCAGTTCCACTCAGCCATAGAGACAAATCTCACGTCGAGAATTTAATTTCAGACTCCTCTTCAGTTTATTGACTGAAATAAATAACTTTTTTTTTTTTTCTGTCAGGCATATACTAAAATACTTTTTTTACCCGGAGCGAGTGTCGGTGAAAATGATAGACATAATCTCCATCTATATCCACCTCTACTTTGGTAAATAATTATTAACTGCCCCTATAGAGAGAACTTTCCAGTGAATACAAATGGTTATTTGTGGGTTTTTGAGTCTACGGATATTACAAGAGTTTGTTAGATTTGTTTGATCTGTAGCCGACTGGTGTGTACTTGATAATTCTTCTATACCCTCTTGGGTGGTGTATACCTGAGGGTTATTTTTAAACTGTTCTATACCTCTTAGGTAGTGTATATCTGAGGGTTATTTTTAATCTGTTCTATAACTCTTGGATAGTGTATACCTAAGGGTTGTTTTTAATCTGTTCTATACCCTACTGGGTAGTGTATATCTGAGGGTTATTTTTAATCTCTTCTATAATCTCTTGGGTAGTGTGTACCTGAGGGTTATTTTTAATCGGTTCTATACCTCTTGGGTAGTGTATACCTGAGGGTTGTTTTTAATCTGTTCTATACCCTACTGGGTAGTGTATACTTGAGGGTTATTTTTAATCTGTTCTATACCCTCTTTGGTGGTGTATACCTGAGGGTTTTGTTTAATCTGTTCTATACCCTCTTGGGTAGTGTATACCTGAGGGTTGTTTTTAATCTGTTTTATACCCTCTTGGGTAGTGTATACCTGAGGGTTGTTTTTAATCTGTTCTATACCCTACTGGGTAGTGTATACCTGAGGGTTATTTTTAATCTGTTCTGTACCTCTTGGGTAGTGTATACCTGAGGGTTATTTTTAATCTGTTCTATTCCCCTTTTAGGTGGTGTATACCTGAGGGTTGTTTTTAATCTGTTCTATACCCTACTGGGTAGTGTATACGTGAGGGTTATTTTTAATCTCTTCTATACCCTCTTGGGTTTTGTATACCTGAGGGTTTTTTTAAATCTGTTCTATACCTCTTGGGTGGTGTATACCTGAGGGTTGTTTTTAATCTGTTCTATACCTCTTGGGTGGTGTACACCTGAGGGTTTTTTAAAATCTGTTCTATACCCTCTTGGGTTGTGTATACCTGAGGGTTGTTTTTAATCTGTTCTATACCTCTTGGGTGGTGTACACCTGAGGGTTGTTTTTAATCTGTTCTATACCCTCTTGGGTAGTGTATACCTGAGGGTTGTTTTTAATGTGTTCTATACCCTCTTGGGTAGTGTGTACCTGAGGGTTGTTTTTAATCTGTTCTATATCCTACTGGGTAGTGTATACGTGAGGGTTATTTTTAATCTCTTCTATACCCTCTTGGGTTGTGTATACCTGAGGGTTTTTTTAAATCTGTTCTATACCTCTTGGGTTTTGTATACCTGAGGGTTGTTTTTAATCTGTTTTATAACCTCTTGGGTAGTGTATACCTGAGGGTTGTTTTTAATCTGTTCTATACCCTACTGGGTAGTGTATACTTGAGGGCTATTTTTAATCTGTTCTGTACTCTCTAGGGTGGTGTATACCTGAGGGTTATTTTTAATCTGTTCTGTACCTCTTGGGTAGTGTATACCTGAGGGTTGTTTTTAATCTGTTCTATACCCTACTGGTTAGTGTATATTTGAGGGTTATTTTTAATCTCTTCTATACCCTCTTGGGTGGTGTATACCTGAGGGTTGTTTTTAATATGTTCTGTACCTCTTGGGTAGTGTATACCTGAGGGTTGTTTTTAATCTGTTCTATACCCTACTGGGTAGTGTAAACTTGAGGGCTATTTTTAGTCTGTTCTGTACTCTCTAGGGTGGTGTATACCTGAGGGTTATTTTTAATCTTTTCTGTACCTCTTGGGTAGTGTATACCTGAGGGTTGTTTTTAATCCGTTCTATACCCTACTGGTTAGTGTATACTCGAGGGTTATTTTTAATCTCTTCTATACCCTCTTGGGTGGTGTATACCTGAGAGTTATTTTTAATCTGTTCTGTATCTCTTGGGTAGTGTATACCTGAGAGTTATTTTTAATCTGTTCTATTCCCCTTTTGGGTGGTGTATACCTGAGGGTTTTTTTTATCTCTTCTATACCCTCTTGGGCAGTGTATACCTGAGGGTTATTTTTAATCTCCTGCCTACTCTCTTAGGTAGTGTATACCTGAGGGTTCTTCTTAATCTGTTTTATACCCTCATGGGTAGTGTATACCCAAGGGTTATTTTTAATCTCTTCTATACCCTCTTGGGTAGTGTATACCTGAGGGTTACTTTTAATCTCTTCTATACCCCCTTGGGTAGTGTATACCTGAGGGTTATTTTAATCTGTTCTATACCTCTTGGGTGGTGTATACCTGAGGGCTGTTTTTAATCTGTTCTATACCCCCCTTGTGTAGTGTATACCTGAGGGTTATTTCCAATCTCTCTTATACCACCTGGGTAGTGTATACCTGAGGGTTACTTTTAATCTCTCCTATACCCTCTTGGGTAGTATATACCTGAGGGTTATTTGTAATCTCTTCTATACTCTCTTGGATAGTGTATACCTGAGGGTTATTTTTAATCTCTTCTACACCCTCTTGAGTCTTTACTCTCCTTACACGGCAGACGCGTAAGACGATATTCGTACATGTGAATTTGTTCACAATGACCTAAAATGCGATAACAGTGTTTCAGACCAGCTTCTCTCCTATTATAGTCGATTTTGGCAAGAGTGATGTCTTCGGTAAAGCTAAAAATGCCGTTCCAAAACCTTCGCACAGAAAAGGTCATTATAAGAATAGTTGCACTGCGTCGAAGCTTGTAGACTGAACGGGGAGACCATCAGTTGAAAGCGATGTGTATTCTCTGGATTATCTAATCAACGCAGTTTCTGGACTTTAAAAGTTCAAAACCATGACCTGTGTAAAGAAGGGTTTGTCGGAGTTAGCCTTAGATTGGCTCAGGTCTTCGATCATGGAGGTGAAATCAGCTTTACTGATGCCGCTTTTTTAGGGTATTTTTGAGTTTCTTCTTTTTCACGTGTTTTAAAGTGTTTTAAAGTGTTCCTGTTATATGTTTATGTAACTGCTATGTGACATTTGGTCGGGACTATTTGTGGACCTTGTGTTAACGATTTACTGTTGACTTCTTTAAGACATTTATTGTCTCTACAGAGAAAATAAACTTAGGGTACCGCCCCTTAGGTTTTTTGAATTTGACCCGTTAAGTTTGTATGAGGCATTTCTCTGGACTCTTGTTTCTGGAAAATGAGGGACAAAGTAGAGTTGTATCTTGAAAATGATAAGAAATGTAATCATCGGAAGTGGCGGTTTTTTCCATTTTATTCGAGGGGAGCTTTATTAACTTTTTTATAGCGATTATCGGATGTCCTGGAATGTTCATCGAACACTTCATGCCACCAAGAGGCGTCAATCTTTGGCTTGACTTACTTATGCAAATTAGCTGGCTGCACATTCAATGTGCAGCCAGCTAATTTGCATAAAATTTTTCTCCGACGCAAAGCTCGTCTTTTAATCAGCAATTACTGGTTCGTGTATTTATTTATATCAGTTCCATTTGACAATATATCTCCCTCCATTGCAACCTAGACAATGGAGGGAAATCAGCTTAGCATTTGAGCTGACAATCAATTCTCTATAAACTGTGTTCAGCTTAGGCTAAACTGCAGGGAACGTTTACGGCTCCTTTTTTAGAGCATTCTTAACACAAACCGTCGAGGAGCAATTTCGTTTGGGCTTGAATGTTTGCCTAGTCTTCTTTTCATAATTCCGCAAATAGGTGATTCTGTAGTGAAGATCGACTTCACAGCGAGACCAATACACTCTTTTCAGTCTTTCGAAACGTTTACTGACTCAGAAGAAGGTCTCAATATGGTAATGGCTCTTACGGCTAACGACTAAAGTTTTGGCAATTTTACTGCTAACGATTCTTTTCTTTCCGTTGCAATTAAGATAAATGTTACAGTTCATGCTTTAAGAAAAACAATTTCGTAGTTAATTTAAAAAAATGCATCAATGTAGGTCGCTTTTAAGCAAGAGGCCAAAATCTCTATGTATTTCATTCCAGATTACCCCATGCTCGTCAGATGAAATAATCATGCATCTTTTTTTCTTCACATTAGTAGTGCTATTGCTATGGGCATCGTACAATATCTCCAAGTCGTGCTGTTTGTATTCAATTTGACCCTCTCCACTGGGGCACAGAAAAAAGTAACTTGTCAAAACTTCAAGTTTGCTACCGATGACGATGTCATCCATAACCAAATTCTTGAGGGTCACTTGTTTAAAAGATTGACAGTCCCAAACGCCATCCAGTGTCACTTGAAGTGCAAAGATGACTGCCTGTGTGTATCCATGAATTATTTCCCTCTGTCCAAAGAAAACAATTGTGAGCTCAACGAAGCTAACAAAGACATGGAGCCAGCGGCGATGAAATGTAGGCAAGGGGGAAATTATTATGATTTGGTGAGAAGCTACACGGTGAAGGTGAGATAAGATTATTTATCTAATGTTTTACTCATTGATTTATGAACTTTCGTAAACAAAGTAAATATCCCAAGATGTTCAAGTTCGTAAATAAAATAAATATTTCCACATGATCAAGTTTTGCGGTACTCCTTAAAAAAAAAGGTCTGTTATATGTCAGTCTGGGCTAAAGACAATTTTGTGCATATCGTTTTGTCTGCGATATGATTGGTCTAGACAAAACCAAAACAAACTGATTTGGCTAAGAGAGGATTGGGTTCATTGTCTTTCTCGCAAACTTTTTTCTTAACGGCCATGTTGTAATGCGAAGGGAACGGCAGAACAGAAGCGACTACAAATTTCATAAAGACATCACTGACTTAACCATTGCTGTATCACTGCATTTCAAATCTAATTTTGAGGGACATTTCATCTCCATTCTGGCACCCCGCTATGTGTTGCACGCATACGTACTTTGCTCGCACTGTTTGTTATCAATTCGATCCGATTCCGGTGAGATTTGTCGATAGTTGCTAAAAAGTACATGCCAACCCAATTCGATGAGCATGGTGAGCTAAAAAATTATTTTAATCTTGCTGTAGGGTGGAGACAGATACACGCCAGAGCAGCATCATTGCATCAACAGATGCTGCCGCACCAATCCTTGTCTCAATGGAGGGGTATGTCAGGAGATTTGTGACACTCACAGCACCAGGTTTAACTGTACCTGTCCTGACACATACTCTGGTCAGCGGTGTGAGAAGAAGATGAAACATCCGAGAAGCTGCAAAGACATAGCTAAGAACGGTGCCTCGACATCAGGAAAATACGACATCTATAATTCAGACAATGAACGGTTTTCTGTTTACTGTGACTTGCAGTCTGAACCTGACTTTGTATGGACGTTAATACAATCGTTTTCCTTTTCCAAGAAAAATGCCTTCAATTATGCAGGGTTTGGCAAAAATCTTGAGATTGATATTGAAGAGGAGGAAGTAAATTGGAACGAGTTCCGATTATCCTTATTACAGATGCAGTATCTTGCTAATCACTCCACGCATCTGAGAGCAACTTGTAACTTTTCTACGGATGGTCTGCAGTATACGGACTACGCACGCGCTAAGCTGGCAGGTCATGACATTTTTGGTACCTGGGACACCTGCCAGATGTACGAATATGTCAATATCCGAGGAATCTATTGTTCTAATTGCACCGCCCGCACAAAACAGAGGGAAGATAAGTCCTGGCACATAAAGAGTTACAACAGCGTAAAATTCGGATGTGAATTTGATGGAAAACCAGGTGGAGTCTCCGATGAAAAAAATTTCGGAAAATTTGACGAAAATTTCATAAATCCGGATCACCGCTGCTCGTTTTCTCCTGCTTCTACAACGCAGCATTGGTTTGGAGCTAAATATGACGAGTAACTTTTTGCGAATTTATTTCCTTTCACAGAAGAGGAAAGACAGCCAACTGAAAGTAGGAAAACATCGGAGCTAGGCTAAGAACTAACAATGACATCAAGTGCCTCAAAGTTTGGTCCAATTAGGAGTTGAACTTGAACTAAACGTTTAATATTTCAGATAGTTACACTGACCCTTTATCATATAGGAATGCAGACATGCACAAGAGTGACGTCATAAGCAACCTTAGACCTTAGATACACAGCGTCCATATTTCAATAATTGAAGAAATTAGGCGGTCTCTGACCTCTTTACCTGCACTTTCATCTTTTCATGTAATGTTCAATAGATAATACACTTACATCTTAAAAGTGAAAGGTCGATAAAATTCGCCTTTTTTTATATTCATCTTTGAAAACACATTCAGAGCTCACCATTAGTTGATTTATGCAAATTATTTTCAAGCAAGTGAGTAACCGTAAGTTGAAATGCTTGTGTTTAGATTCAGAGATGTTTAAATACCTCCGTACGCTATTAATTTAATAATGACATGTTTTGTCGTCGTAGGGCGACATTTCTTGACTCGGTCAATCAACCGTTTTCTCTTAACTTTTACTTTACTTTTCTTTTTTTCGAAAATTAGCTTCGGCTTCGTTAGTTTGATCATTTGTAAAACCAAGCTTTAAGTTTAGGTTTCTTGATTTCGCTTTAAAAATCCGTACAGTGAGGAGAAATGGTATTTACTTAGTGGCAGTGATATTAGTAATTTCTCCTTGGTGATATTAGGGACTCGATACATAACTGTGAAAATCCCTCAACAGCCTCTCTTTGACAAGGACTAAGGTACTTAAGTGCTTCGTTAGGATCACTGCTTACTTAATAACATTGCACATTTGTTCTTAGAACAATTTTTGAAATGTTTAAAATGTAGGAGATGAAGTAGGTATAGTTGTCGGAGCAGGTGTTTGTCAAGAGAAGCACCAGTGAAGTGTAAACGTCATTCAGGATTGTTGTACATAATGTGAGACATCATCTTATTTTCCCCTCAAAAAAGGTATTCGAATTGCGCGGCCAAAGTACCATTTGACAAAAAAACCGCTGACGTCACTTTAGAACATAAAATCGAATTCAGTCGAATTCGGCAACGAGGGCGATATTGAGCTGGTGCCCCGGCTCTGACCAGCAAAGCTGTCACAATAGATCGTTCCGGCACCGGGCATAGAATGTTTCAGTTCCCGAACGATCCACATTGTGAGAAGAAAATGGGTGAAATTTGTCTGCAGACAAAGACACGATCGTAACGATCCAACTTGGCCGTAAACGTCGCTTTGTTGGGCAAATTTTGAAGAATTATGCTATGAGCGAAACTTGTCCATGTTAAACAGCATGATGGAGACCCAAGGGATGGATATGAAGTGCTTTTTGAGAAACGACACTGTGCCAACCAGGGACACTACTTTTGTGCGTGGTGTAAATTAAGTTTGAGTATTTCTGTACCGTTTCCTTAAATTGTTTTCTATTTTTTCTCTTTGCGTACTGATACTGCTTAAAAAAGTCATTCCAAACATTCAGCTTCTTTAATATACAAATAACCTAAAAGAAACCCAGTTTAAATATCATTAAAGGTGGCGGATACAAAATTAAGGAGGTTGAGTGACGTAATTTCCAATGGGACTGTTTCTCAGTTTTTGAACCTTTGCATTTGTGGACTCCTTTATAGAGAGTTCAGCCAAAAATAAAGAGCTGGAGCCGGATCGACCATCATTCATAATTCGTGTTCAACTGCCTCTTTTAACTGTAACAAAGTCAATTCCTCTATGGAAACGAAGGAAAATTTTCAATAGCAAGAGAATGAGTTTTGTCACTTAGCTGTAAGTATTTATATTTCTGAATGAAAGACAATTTAAAGATTAAAAGGCTATTGGCGATCTCCTTTGTCTGTCTCTGGTCTCTACCGCTTCTTGTTGCGAAATTACTTGTTTTTTATGTGATCACTATTCTAAAGATAGTTAAAAGACACATTTCGACGTATATCCTTCCACGAATTTAAAAAAGAAAAAAAAGAAAAAAAAAAGTTAAAGTCCTTTTCTTTTTTAGCTATTAAGACACTTCTGAGGAGTACTAAAATAAAAAAAGGGCTATTCAACTGAATCACACTCAACTCCTCCTTGGAAACATACGGAAATACCGTGGTCAATTTTTTTCCTTCTAATTGTGGAGACAATAAGCTTTGACATCCAACCGTAAGTATCGATCTTTCTCGATAAAAAACACCTCATGGCGAGCTCTTTTCATTGTTTCTGGTCTCTTCTTGTTTAATTGTTTTGAGTGATGTAAAGGTGGAAGTATTTGCCTCATATTGAAGAGCAAAGCAAAAATTGGAAAAGTCAGAGGAGGCATCCTGGCACATCAGGGTTTGTGGTAGCATTGAGAGGGGATGTGAATTTGATGGAGGAGCAGGAGGACTCATCAACAAGGAAGACAATTTCGGGGAGTATGGCTGCAACGATAGCAATCAGGATCACCGCTGCTCGTCTTCGCCTGCTTCCACAACCCAGCACAGGTGTTGAGCTAAATATGATTTATGACTTTTTGTGGATTCATTTTCTTCTTTAAAAAAGGAACCTCAGCCGACAAAATACCATTCTGAGAAACCATTAGAGCAAGGCTAAGAACAAACAATGACATATGTATGCTTTCAAATGTGGTCCTCCTCAGGAGTTGAACTTGAACTAAACGTTAAATATTTCAGATGGTTACACTGACTCTTTATCAAAGAGGAATGTAGACAAACACAAGAGCTACGTCGTAGGCAACCTTAAGAGGCTGTCTCTCTTATTTCCACCCGGTCAATTTTGCGTCAAAAATAATTTTGCCTGAAACTCTGTTAACAGAAAGACTTTACCTAGGAAAGAACTAAATTAGATTTGGTTTGATTCGAAATAATTTTCTGACTGCATTACGGGCCATAATTATTTCCCAGTCCGTAGTGACCGTCGCAACGTCTCGAAAATTGAAAAATAGGCATATTTTGTAACGTTGTAAAATATTTGATTCGCATAGTTAAGCCACAGAATTTATATCAGATTGCTTAAAAACCTTTCTAGTTTGCCAAGAAAGTTAGAATTTGCCCTCTCAGCATATTTGAAAAGGCGAATTTTAGCATATTCTGACCACTAGAAATCGCCATCGGCCGATGGCCGTAAATAACTTTGATTTAGACGCTAAGTTTTGGGATTTGGCACCTGGTTGACGATTCTATCCAACACAGCCCTAAGTTTAGACCTTCATAGGCAAAAATATGCAAAAACCCCTGTACGTTTTCGATTTTTCAAAAGTTATGACCGTTTGAATCAGCACATGTACAAGCATTCGCGATTTTTTCGCCTACACCAAAATCGAACCACTGGAGCAGATTTTGTCATAAATACAGCTTACCCGCTTTGCAGCCCGGCTTCATGGCTCACTTCAGAATTTTTCTAATAACCAAATTGGTGAAATCCATGATAACTTCAACAAATAGCTAGGTATTACCTTCGAAAAGTAGGCGGCATCCATCGTGATTTGTGGTATTAAAACAAATGCCCGAATTGGCCACATTTCGCGGTGAATCACCCATTTAACATCGCTGCAGAGCTTAATTTTTTCCAAAATCAGAATATAAACTCTCCATGGCTGGAAGCTGAGGGAGAAATGAAGGTTTTAGGCTTTTGAAGTGAAGAAATAATCGCTTAAATTAAGATCCAGTTCGATGTTATACTGTTCTCACAAAGGTCCGCACAAAAGAGAAGACCGCTGATAGCTTGTGCCGTACGTTGTGCCATATGGTTTTGTTTTGTATCCCAAAGTAATATTTTGGCAGAAAAATTTTGGATGAAAAGAATAAATGCTTTTAGCTGGAGTTTGATATCATATAATTAATAAATCAATTTCAAATATCCTGAGCTTGCTTCTTTCGGTTCCGCGTCGATTGTGTCCACAGAACAGCAACCTGTCAATAGCCACGTATAAGGATAAGGGGTTTGGCACAGATTTTCCTGTGAATGACAATAACAATGAACCGGACTGGAACTCTTACCGCCTTTCCTTATCACATATGCAGTCTCTCTCAAATCACTCCACTTATCTGAGAGTAACATGCAACTTACCTGCAGATGGCCTGCAGTATACGGACTACGCACGCGCAGTTCTGGCAGGTCATGACATATTCGGTGACTGGGGTGGAGATTGCAAACTTTTTGAGTATATTAACATCCGTGGAATTAACTGTTCTGATTGCACCGCCTACACGAGAATGGCTCTTAATGGTGCTTAGTTCGTGAACAGCTTCAAAAGCAAAGAAAACGAATGCGATTTGGATGGGTCACTAGAAGCAGCTGACAACGAAAATAATTTTGGACGGTATCATTCCGGAGCGATAAATACGAATCACCGCTGCTCCTCTTCGGATCCTTCTACAACGAATATTGGTTTGGGGTTAAACATGAATAGGTTATTCTAAGTTCCAATAATCGACTAAAACTAGAATGAGTTGTGAGTATTAGATAAGGTTTTTGTTTTTCCTAAGGATTCTGTCTCTTATTGGTTGTGGTTGCTTTTTGTTTTTGTTTTTGTTTTTTTTTAACATAGGTCTTTGGTTTCTCGGAAATGTTTTTTTTGAAATCGAAGAAATTGCTCTTCAATCTCGTTACAGCCGCTTCCCATAAGATGTTTGGTAGTATGACGTTAACGTTGAGAGAACGCTTTTTCAACAAGTTTTGTCAAACCGAAAAAATACAGACAGCTAATCAGAACAAAATACGATATTACAGGAACCATTAGGAATTCAAAGAGAAAGAAGCAAACCGTTGTAATCTGAGATTGTTTTTAGCTGTGCATTGCTTAGGTAGGAGATTAGCCCGAATTCTCCATACCAAAAATGCAAAGCTAATGCAATCTTGGCTCCCTTTCGAAAACAGGAAAGAAATTGCTTTGTAGTAGTAGTTAAGTAATGATTCATGACTTGAATGCGTCAGCTATCATACGAATATGTTCAAATACGCCTTACGAACTTTTATATAAACTTATATCGGTAACATACACATGCAACTGATATAACATGATCCTAAATTAAATTAAAAAGCCTAAAAAATTGAAATATATTATCTTAAGGAGTTAGAACAATCAAGGGTAAACACCAACTGTTGCATAGCTTAAGACGAAGACTAAATTGCAAAGTTACACTAAGTTTGTTTGAATAGGACTTGATAGCCATAGAAAGGGGCAGCATCACATTTCATTTAAACGCCTGAATGCTGTTTCATCAATTTACTTAATCTCAGATACTCGTTTGATATTTGTATTGAGAGTGAAAGAGACATTTGCAGTTAAATGACTCAAAAACCGATCTTTTCTCCAGCCTTGTAAATAAATCTCAGGAGTCAGCAGAATGATAGAAGTCAACTTTCATATTTTTGCACAAAGAAATCTTTACATCTTTGAAGTCGAAAACGGCTCACTTTGTATCTATTGTTAAGAGAACGAGTCCACAATGTACCTGGTCGAAGGATTCGAAAAGTGGTTTCATAATTAAAATGCCCTCTCTTTCTCGCCACCCGGCTTCAGTAAAAAGATGTCATTTAAGAAAGCTCCCTTTCGGGACAGATCTTACTAAAAAAACTTTGAATTTCTCCTTCTTCTTTGCTAATTACTATCATGCCTGGCTTGAACGTCCAGTTTTGTGTAACATTAGTGTATAGGTTTGCTTGTGAGTATCAGTATCTGTATTTATTTTGAATTTTTGACATGTGTAGATTCTTTTTCATGAAGCTTTTTAAAACGGATAAGTACTGGTTAGTACGTTTGTTTGGCGAAAACAAAAACTTTACAGACGATCATCTTAACGCCTAGCTGCCTGTCTTCGTTTGAGGTGAATGACTACTATGTTCCTTATGTGCACATCTTTCTAGAAAAAAGTTAGAGTTTGTGAACGACTTTGTGATATTTTACAATTTTTTCATACAATTTTTTAAATTTATGAGTGAAACTTTATACATCGTTGAGCGATTGAAACTGTGAATGAAATATCAGTGGCAAACTGTGTTGATTAAAACAAGTTGGTCAAAAAACAACCGGTTCAATCATTCGTTCTCGCTTGAAAATATTGATAAGTTGAGTGAGAAACGTAAGTGAAACTTTCCATCACTTATCAATTACAACGTGGCGCTGATTAAGAAAAATTTTCACATGCAGGCTTACGTTCCGGGCGTCGGCCCATCTCAGGTTTTTCCAAGCAGCAGTTAACTGATGCAACGATCATGTCAGTTTAGAACTAAATAATTGATTTGTCTACGCCCTTTTTTTTTGTTCATCTTGGTCGTTCATGTTTTCACATTTTCCCAAGGATCTGCTTTAGTGTTCCAGTCGCTATCATTTTTTTGTCCATTTACCTGATGTAAACAAAATATACAATGCACGCATTCAAAACTGAATTATACCTCAGAAAGCAGAAAGTAGCCGCTAAATAAAAGAGAACAAGAATGATGCCGTTCAACAACAAAATTGGAAAAAAAAATGTTCGCAAGCATCTCCTCGAAAAGGTTTCAGCTCTGTTTGTCCTCGGTACCTAAATCCAGCATATTTACGTCACAAGTTAGAAAGTAGCAACGAAAACGAAAAATTTAACCACGTAACATTTGTGAACATTGAAGATTTTTCAATGCAAAATGATTCCATTACACTAATTTTCACAAAAAATTACGGTGTTTGATTTATAATATCCGTGTTTATGTTGAATTTCTGCCATATGTAGATTCTTTTTCATGAAGTTTTTTCAAATGGGTAAGTATTGGTTATTATCTGTTGGCAAAAACAACTTCACGGACGATCATTTTAAGACCTGGCTATGTGTCTTCGTTTGTGTTAAATGACTACAGAAAACAAATGAAACAACTTAACGTCAACAACAATGTCTGGAGAAACAGTAAAATTGCTTCGGATGATATTTTATTTCAGTGTTATTACTATTATTTCCAGTTTTGATCACTAGTAGAATACTCAATGGTGAAGTCTGACCTTAATCTCTCCTTCTCTAGTTGACGCTTTTAAACTGTGGATGGATGGTATACGGTTTTGAATAATTCATATCATCCGGCTCCTGTTCAAAATATACACAATGTGAAGGAGTATCAATGATAACAAGTGTCCAGTATTATCATCTATGTTCCTTATTTGCACATCTTTCTAAAGAAGGGTTAGAGTTTGAGAAAGATTTTGTGATATTTTACCATTTTTTATCTCAGGTTTTTCCAAGCAGCAGTTGACTGATGCAACAATCATGTAAGTGTATTCACCTCGGGTTAACTCGAACTGGCACCTTAATGACTTCAACAGCCTTCCCTTCATGGTTCAACTCTGATTCATGGCCAAGAGATAATTGTGTAGATAATTATTACAATTACAGATAATTAGGGAACTATGCGCATTATTTTGCTACCATTCGTTTGTTACATGTGATGTGTATGGATGACTGCCTGTATATATAATCATATTTCCCTCAGTCCAAATAAAGCAACTGAGAGCTCAATAATGCCAATCAAGATATGAAGCCATTAGCGATGAGATTTACAGAAGAAAAGAAATTGCCATGACCAGGTGAGGAGCTACACTGTGCCAAAGTTGTAGTAAACTTAAATTGTTTAATCTATTTTATTCAATTTACTGGGCAGACAAATTTCCTGAAGGGATCTACTCCTTCAAAATTGAAATTCCTATGATGAAAACCAAATAAAACAGTCTAAAGTAAATTCCTTGTAAGGCAATTGTCCTGTAAATTAAAAAGTTTTGGAACATTACACATTATTATGATAAAGTTCGGATATAACGCCTGCTGAAATTGGTTAAAGGAGCGTGCTCTAGGAGAGTATAGAGCATGGAGCTGAGCTGAAGCTGTCACGCCATCTGCCAAATTGTACTATGTCCGACCTTTCCGGGACTTCTCTCTAGCTTCTTTTCGATAATTGAAAGTGAAATTTCGGAACAAGCGAGACGGCAAGTAGCAACGGAGGAACCAGACCGAGGTTTGTAAACATGCCAGGCGCCATGATTTACTTTACTGAAACGTGAGCAGAGTCGAAAATCCTCAAAGAGAAAACAAAATGGACAGACCGAGTTCGAAAGGGTTTCACGCTCAGTTAGATTGCAAGCTTATGTGTGGTAACAAAAATCAAACACAGCTCACACTCGTATAGTATATAAAGTTTTGTCTTCAAAAACAAAACAGAACAAAACAGGAATGGTGAAAAATATGACCAAACTGGCCTAATTGTTAAAATTCATACGACTCATGACGATGTCAGAGCGACTGCGATCATCATGGCGATCTCCGGTCATCGCAATGAAGCAAACCTCAGAAACTACATCGGCCGCCCTTCGAGGGAAAAAATAAGAGCTTGCTCTGATATCCTTTCTGATGCGTCGAGTGGAGGGCCACACCAGTCATTGCAGCCTAGTTTTACGGTGTTGTCATCACGAGCGATGTTCATGTTCCGGTGAATTCGGCTATCGTTCATTCCTAAAACTTTTGCCTTATACACTTTGTTTTCTACTTGTCATGTCAAAAAACTTGCTTGTTTTTATGAGCCACAATTCGGCAGAAGTTCACTGAACATTTCTCTTTCAGATTCTGTAGAAGAGACTAAAAATCTTTAGGCAAAAGTGTTAAACTCGACCTGCCGAGCTATTTAAGTTTGTGAACTTTGATGGTTTGACATTTTTGACAGCTTTATTCTTGTACAGCCAATCGGATTACTTGAACCATTCTAACAGGGATTCTGATTGGCTTATTGCTGCGTGCTTTATGAGAGTATAGAGCATGCTGACGACATTGATGTCCGCTTTGGAAATAAAGTTTGTTTTTAAAATTGAAATTAATGATTGGGGAACTTAACCGATTCTTTCATTATAAAACAAACAGTGAAGCCTTGACTGTGCACATATTGTTCTGTTGTAAAGCACTAAGGAAGCAGCTAGAGCACTTAAGAAGTGAGGAGAAACACTTCTTTCGTGCTCTAGCCGCTTCCTGCGTGCTTTATAACAGAACAGAGCACAGTCCAGGCTTCTCTATTTGTTAAATAGTCACCGCCATAGAAGAGCTCTTATGTTTGACTGTCGAACTTGACGGGGGGTCTTACTGCTTTGAAAAACATCGAGATTCTTATTTAAAACATTCTATAAAGCTGCACTTATGAACATAAATAATTCATTTTAGCCCTTCAAGTTTTTTACTGATTGCAGTAAATAAATTTGTCGGAAAAAGTAATAGAGATAATGTCCACC